TAATAAAAATAAAAAAAACCTCTCCACCTATTTTCTTCCCCCGCTAGAAGAAAGAGAAAGAAAGAGGGGGAAGAAAATAGGCAAAGAGGTTTTTATATTTTTTTTATAAAAAATATAAAGATTTATCTACATGTTACTTTATTTATCCATGTTATCATTTTTTTCCAGTTAGATTATATATGTCATCAAAAAAATATAAAAAATACCAAGTGGACGGAGTTAATGGTTTAAATTAATGAAAGTATCAAAATTGTGCAGTTATTAAAGTTAAGAGATTAAAAAAGTGTAAAAAATAATTTAAGGATCAAGTACAAAAAATAGTTTATGAACCAAAAAAGTACAATTCAATAAAGTTGAGGGATAAAAAAGTGAAATTTAATGAAGTTGAGGGACAAAAAAGTGAAACTGAATGAAATTGAGGGACCAAAATTAGCATTTAACTACTTTTTTTCAAGTGGTGGGTGTGAAATGTGACGGACATTAACGAAATTAATAGGAGATTTGATGGAAGTTAGTTTTTCGTACAATTGGGACTTTATTTGAGAATTTCGTGGAGTTTGGGACCTTTATTGAGCGCAATTGAAGTTTGGGTCCGAAATTACTAATTTGGTGTAAGTTTGGGTCCTTATGTCATATTTTTGTCTTTTTTTTTTAATGATATGAAGATCATTTCTTGTTAGATTTCTCATTTTTAAAATGGAAATCATGTGGAGATTTTATACAAATAAGTACACAACCTTTTACAACTTTTTTAATTAAAGATATGATATTGTTTCATTATCAATCAAGGTTATCACCTTTTAAAAATATCTAATCAAGTGATATTTGCAATTTTACTAAAGAACTACTAAGTTGATTGACATACATGCATGGTTATTCCCTTGATTAATAATTTTAAAAAAATAATAACTTTAATTAGTATAATTGTGAAGATTATATTCTTAATTAAAAACTTTTAAAAAGTGATAGTTTTAATCATTAAAGAAAAAAAAGTTATATTATTAATCAAAATTTTGTTGAAAAATTATTTTCTTATTGGTAGGAATTCTCTAATCTTGTGTGTGGTCTTTTACTCTTTTGGGGTACTTCAAGTAAATAGAAAAGTTTCTTCAAGTGATCATATGCGTATTATTTTTTTTTTCTCATTTCAAATATTTTAATTTTTTTCCTATCATTGATGCATTTTTGTTTACATAATTATAAATTTGAGACCAACTTAAATACTTTAAAAAAAAATACCCAGTACAATATCTCTTTAAGACCTAATTAAAAATGAATTTGGGTAAATTTTTTTTTTTTTTAAAGAATTTGGGTCACCTCTTCTGTCAATTTCTCAAACCATGAACTTTTCTCTTCTTGCAAAGACTGCCAGAAACTGTTTTGCGCCGCTTTCGATTTTTGCAGGTTAATGCAATTCTTTGCTTGTTTGCATTTTCATTTCTATTGTTGGACCTAATCTTATGGTTCACCTCTTTATTAGGAATGTTAGGCAATGGGAACTCAGTCCCAAATTGAGAATGCGTATGATTGAGATGCTTCTAATTGATTCTGCTATTTTTTTTTCTTAATTAATATGCTTCTAATTTGCTGATCAAATATATACATGTAGAGAGAGAGAGAAACGATCCATACATTTCCTTCTACATTTATCTGCTTCTGCAATTTATCCATACTTTACCTTCTGCATTTGTTTTACTAAAATCAACTAGACCCATTGTTTAGAGGCTTAATATATAATCTTAATCCTAAATATGGTATTGTAACAAAAAAATTTTGTATCTTTTGTAAACAATTTTTGTTGTGTTCTTAGGAATGACATTTTTTTAAGACTATTTAATATTGTTATGGCTTTCGGTTTACAATAAAGTTGTGCGTAAATTAATTATCCTAACTAATTTTTTCTCATTTTTTTTTATTTCGTATAGAAAATAAATTTAATAACATTACTGCACCTAACCCTCTGGGCCAAGTGGCCTTCAGACTGTCTTTGCAGATGTATTACCCTCCGCCATGATGGTTCGAAACCCACCTTTGTAAAACTTGATCAAAAAAAAAAAAAAAAATTAATGACATTACTACTACATTTTAGGAATTCATCGATGGAGAAAATTCTTGAGAAAGCTGAGAATTTTGTAGACCACTACAGAAAACTTGAAAAAGATACAAATGAGTTGAAAAGCGAATTTCAGTTTCTAAAGAGGAGAAAAATTGACATTGATTCAAGAATAGAAACAGAGGTTCGCCTGGGGCAAGTGGTGAAAGAAGAAGTAAAGGGCTGGCTTGAAGATGTTAAAAAGATGGAAGAAGACATACAAGATGTTGAAGAAAGGGTGCACAGTGTTTCACGCTACAATCGTATCAGTCTTGATATACTCGTGCGTGAAAAAATTGAAGAGGTGAAGAGAATTCAAGAGAGGGGCAATTTCAATGAAGGCCTTGTGATTGAGAGAGCTCCAGCTCGTGGAATTATAATTCCAACAGAAAATATAGAAGGTGAAATTTCTACTAAAGATGAAATTCAGAAGCACTTGATGGATGACAAGGTTGGAATGATTGGAGTTTGTGGGATTGGTGGTGTTGGTAAGACTACAATTATGAAGCATATTAACAATGATTATTGAGGGAGGTCAGATTTCAGAAAGTGATATGGGTTACTGTGTCATACCCTCTCAATGTTTTTGCATTACAAAAGAAGATTGCTGATGCTATGCATAAGACACTCCAGGAAGATGAAGAAGAAATGATGCGGGCAGCAGCACTAATGGATATAATGGGAAGTAAGAGTTTTGTGCTAATATTAGATGATGTATGGGAAAAGTTTTCTCTCAAGGATGTTGGAATCCCGGAACCAGTGCAGAATAAGAGCAAAGTAGTCATCACTACAAGATCTATTGAAGTATGCAAGTATTTGGGTTGTAAGATTGTTAAAGTGCAGCCTCTTTCACAAGAGGAATCTCTAAACCTATTCCTAGAGAAGGTTGGACGTGATGTTTTACAAAAAGTTTCAGGATTGGAAGAAACCTTGAAGCTTATTGTGGAGGAGTGCAAGCGCTTGCCATTGGCAATTGTTGTAATAGCAGGGAGTTTGAAGGGAGAATATGATATTGCAGAGTGGAGAAATGCCCTCAATGAATTACGCCAATGTGTCAAAAGTGTGAAATGTGTTGAAGATGAGATATTTGGAGGGTTAAGATTTAGTTATGACCGTCTAAAAAGTTTGCAAATCCAAGAATGTTTTTTATATTGCTCCTTTTTTCAGGAAGATTATGAGTTTTCTGGAAAGGAGTTGATTGAAGATTGGATTGATGAAGGACTGATTGATGAGTGGGGAAGTAGACGAGCAGCTTATGATAGGGGCCGTGCTATTTTAAATAGGCTTCAACAGAATTGCTTGTTAGAGAAATGTTTTGGAATGGATAGAGTTAAGATGCATGATGTTGTGAGAGACATGGCTATCAAAAGCATTGGTCCTGGATTTGGATATATGGTAAAAGCTGGTATGAAATTGAAAAAGGTACCAAATGAGAGTGAGTGGGAAAGAGATCTTAAGAAGGTATCTCTAATGGCAAATGGCATTTCAAAAATTCCCATTGGTTTGTCCCTGAAGTGTCCGTTGCTGTCAACTTTGATATTGTCACATAATCCTTTGTCAGAGATTCCAAGTTCCTTTTTTGAAGATATGGTCGGACTTAAGGTTCTTGATCTTTCCTGGACTGATATTGAAGCTTTACCTGATGCCATCTCTAACTTGTTGAATCTCTCTGCACTTCGGTTGAGGTATTGCAGGAGGTTAATGTACTTGCCTTCCTTAGCGGAGCTTAGGGCATTGAAGAAGTTGGATCTACATAGGGCAGGGATTAAGGAGGTCCCTCAAGGCTCGGAGATGTTGGTAAGTCTTGAATATCTTGATATATTTTGTCGATGTCTGAAAGAGATTCCAACAGGAATATTACCTAAACTTTCCAGTCTCCAGAACTTGGTTGTAGATCTAAGCAACGGAATTACTACAAGGATAAATTTAAAAGAGATTGTTAGATTGGGCAAGTTGGAGAGTTTGAAATGTGAAATGGAGGGCATACTAGACTTCAACTATCTAGTCAATAAGTCTAAAGATTTTGAAAGTCTTACGGCTTATAATCTTCAACTGATTATAGAGAAAGAATACGGCTTTGAATATGGAGTAAATGCTAAATATCAACGTAAGGTTGTAATTGTAAAGTGTGAGATCGGAGAAGAATGTATAGTGCTTCCAGATAAGCTTGAGGCATTGTGGATGGAGCATTGTAAAAACATGAAAAACATGAGATGCAGCTTAAACAAAGCAGTTTTGTTAGAAAATGCAACCGAGTTGAGAAGCTGTTTTATTGAGGGTTTTGAAGGCATAGAGTGCTTGGTTGAGTTGGACTCATCCTCCTCCTCATTGTGTTATCCAGTTCTCAATAAGCTTGAAGAATTGGATCTTTGGCATTTGCCTAGTTTGTGTGTATTGGTGAGAGTGGAAGGAGTAGCAACACCACCGCACATCTTTTCCAATCTTAAACGGCTTCGTATATCGGAATGCTTTGGAATAAGGAAGTTGTTTCCACTTGAGCTACTGCATGCCTTCCAAAACTTAGAGCAGATTCATGTTCGTGAATGCAAACAAATGGAGGAGATAATAGCCTCATCAGATTCAGATGCATCATCGGATAAATTCCCTTTTCCGAAGTTAAGGATATTGCGCTTGTGGTACATGGACCAATTGAAGAGCATCTGCAGTGGCAAATGAGTTATGGTTTGTGATTCTATTGAAGAAATTCAAATATGGAAATGTCGAGGGTTAAAGAGGATCCCTTTGCAGCTTTCTCTGCTTGATAATGGCCAGCCATCTCCTCCTCCTTCTCTCAAGAAAATCGAGATAGATGAAGAGTCAAAAGAATGGTGGAAATCAGTGGTTGAGTTGGATCATCCTAACGCTAAGAACATACTCCAACCTTTCTTGACTTTCAAGAAATTATTTTCCTTTTGAGGATGTAAGGGTTTGATTGATTTATTCTAATTTGAATTTGATTTGTTTTGTTGCTTAAAATTTCTGTCATTGCATCCGAAAGGGGGTTGTTGACAAATCTTCAACTTTTCAGTTTTAACGTAAACGAGTCACGTGCGAGCCCAATAACACGTGCCAATAAAACCTCTTCTTCTAGCACTCCACAGTAGGAACAATGCGAAAAGTGCATCTGACATTGGAAGCCTATGCATTGTGGAAGAGATGAGATTTAGATGCATCCACCCTTCACCCTCAGCTCTACTGTGCTATATCATAAGCTCCAACTATGTAAGTATCCATATTTTGACTTTGATCATTATTATTTTCGGGTTTTATACTTTCATTCCATTTATATAGAAATTAGTTTTTGGGTTTGTGTTTGGGTTTGTATGGGTCGCTGAAATTGGATTTTGGGTTTGGGTAGTAACAAAATCATGGGTGATGAAGATTGGCTAATGTTTGTGGTTGGAACATTAATATTTCCTTTTTCAGTTGATTTTTTGGGTATACTGAAATTTCTCAACATCTTGCCAACCAAATTGGTAGTATGGAATCAATTCCTATAAGATCACTTCCTTGAATATGTCTAGTTGGCTCCAGATTTTTCAACATATTTGAAAGCTCTGCTATTTGTTTGTAGGATCTTTTCTCAAGCAATGGCAACTTTTCTCATCAGAAAAGCAAAGCAGAACAGCAAAGCAAAACAAAACGGGATTAGACTCACCCACTACCAGTAGTGTTTGATTTCATTGACAACAATGTTAGATTTTTTTTTTTTTTTTTACCAATTTATGTCTTTTTTTAATTGTATTGGATGAACTTGGTCTTGTTTCTTTCGGTAATTTGTTTGTGTTGTAAATTGTTAAGCATGTTATGTTATGGGATTTCTACTCTTGTTTCTATGGTGCTTCATTGCTTCATACACTCAATCTGTTATCAATTTGAAATCTTAAATTTTTGTAATGTGTACCTTTCATATTTGCTTTGCTGACTTGACCACTGGAAAACACTTCAACAACACTCCACTGTGCCTTTTTCCACACTTTCAGGTTTTTTTTTTTTTTCATTTACTTTTCTATCATTTGCAATCCTTGATTGTTTTAATTACTGAAAGGGAAACAATTTCTCTAGATTGAAGTGAAAAGCGAAGGGAGTTCCTGTCCAGGAATCCATAACAGAAAAGAACTCAGCTCTCATAAATCCTAAGGAGTAAGTTTTTTGACTAAGAATTTTATTTAATTTTCATTAGGGCTAGATGAATTGATTTTTGAGCACATATGGTTGAAATTGAGCCCTTTTGAAATGCAGATTTCAGCACAATCAGTAGGCAATTGGCAGGAAGAGATCCAGGCTCTAGTCTCTGATGAACTCCAAGTACTAAGTGTCAATTTTGCTGTCTTCATTTTCTATCTCTGTTTGCACTTTGACCCTTCAAAATTAATATTATTCACCTACAATAGTAATATAATATATGCTTTTCAGGTTCCTAAGCTAAAAGGTTCATACAAGATGAAGTTTCTGATAAAATTAGTATCATTTTCAGGTTTCCTACAAGTGGCTGAGTTGCAACCTTTTGGTGTCATGAAATATTGCAAAGAGGTGATTGTCATTCCTCTCCAAGAATGCAGTTAAAGTTCACATTCACAAGCCACAAGAATGGAGACACAAACTCATGTTTGTTGATGAATTCTTTGGCTATCATAAATGGAATTTTTGGAATTCTATAGCAAAGCAGTAATGTGATAATTTCTTTTCTGAATTTCTTGCAGAAGCTAAGCAAGAATTTGATGGCAATAGCTCAGTTTAGGTGAACAGTGTTCAAGGATGCATTGCAAAGTATTGTGAGCTGCACTCTGGAATGCTGAATTTTTCCAAGCTTCAGGAGTTTTCCTAGAGTAGCATACTTAGATATTGAAAATTCTTTAAGAGATAATAGGTAGGTCTTTTCTGGTTATTTAAGTTTAAGATTTTTTAAGTTTAGATTCTGCCTCTGGCTATCTTCTAGCAGAACATTTTTCTTTTGGAGAGCACAACTTCCTTCCAAGTTTTTTGCCTCTTGAAGTGCTTATCTTCTCATATATTTGCTAATAAAGAAAATTCTATGTTAGTGTTATGAAATGCTTTTATGGCTACTATCAGAATTTATTGGACATTCCTTAACTAATTATTTTGCTCTTTTGGAGGTGTAGTTCGTTAGCGTACCTATGCAATTGTGCTTCTGCAAAGTTGAAGTCCAGTTGAGCACCAGCTGATGATCTTAATTTTAGTAAAGATTCTAAAGGTGAAGCCAACAAGAATGGATGGTGGTTTTGGATTCATCGGGTGTAGACAAGCATGAAGATGCCATCAATTTAGCATCACCTATCCCACCAAACAGCTCCATTTATTGGTCCAAAAGTCATCAACAAAAGTAGAAATAGTTTAAAGTCCTCTCCAATTAAGAATGAAAATCTGCTTTCTGAAACTGGTATGAATCCTCTCCTCACCTTCAGACAGATGTTAATTTTTGCTTGTTAGTTGAATGAACTGCCTGCATTTGGGCTTTACAACTATGGAGTGCTTTTAACAATCTTTTTTGCCCTTTTCTGGCCAGTGTACTTGACTGAAGGCTTTGCAATTTTATTTGATTTCATTATGCTTATTTTAGATTGTAAGCAATAAAGAGCCTAACAACTGCATTCCTTACATTTTCATCTTTCAATGCAGGCCTCCTGCAGCCGAGAAGTCTCCTGCAGTAGGAAATGCTACTCCTTATCTGGGAAGCAAAGCAAGAAACCAAAAGAAAGCAAGGAAAGTCAAGGACTCCAAGCAAGGCAATATCTCAACATTCTTTAAGAGAGTTAATTTGGGCAGAATGAAGTTTCTACTTCTTCTTGCTAGCCATCTCTCTTCTTTGGAACTCATTCTTTCTTTTGATTGGACATTATAGTAAATCTAATTCAACTTCGTCTACAATGGGAGGCCTGATTCACTATCTTATATACTCTATATGAAATCTGGAGGTGACAGCCTGATTCCGGCCAACTACCAAGTTATTTTTTTATATCATGTGTGCTATACAAAAGGACATGATTCCCAGTCATCTTGGTTGTTTAAATCGGGGTCCCTTTTTCTAAGGGTTGTGAAGGGTGCATTTGGTTTAATATGGTTTCAAGGCATTTGAAATGTCTTTTTTTTGTGTCTTAGTTTTGATTAACTGAAGCTGTTGGACATCTTGAGGAGCAAAAGATTGATGTTCATAGATTCAGTGCAAAGAACCAATTTGAGGCAATGTCTTGTTTGGTGCAATCCATGATTCCTGCAGAGAAAGAAAATCTTTTCATGGAATTACTCCCATGAAGATCTTCAATGCTGAGGTACCATAAATTTTCTGCCTATCCTGCTTTCCTATGTTTCCCAAATTCTTCATTTATTCCTAATAAATTTGCATTTAACATGTGTTAAATGGTTTGAATGCTTAAATTTAAGGAGTAACTAATTAAACATTTAAAGTATCCATGTTAGACACTTGACCTTAGCATTCTGAGCTTTTGAAATGTGTTTTAGGAGTACAATGCATCGACTGAGTACTACTGGGAGCCCTTCATTGTGGAGTCTAATTCAAACCATGCAAAAAATCACTGTCCTAAGACGGCTGGTGAACCTTGATGCCAAAGCTAAACATGGCAAGAGCTAGGAAGGAGTTCATGTGAGGGTGTTTGAGAGCTATGTCAGCCTAAGATTGATGCTGATGTTAGGTTAAGTATCCAGTTTTCCCTCTAAGGCTTCTGATTCCATCCAATTTTTTTTTTTTTTTTTCTTTCTAGCAGAAATTCTTCTGATTTTTGCACTACAAGAGCAAGTTTTTAATTTGAGCATACATTCTGGAATCCAACAGATTATTCTGACTTCCTTCCCGGGTTTTGGGTTTTTGGGTTTACAGTTATGGAAACCTGGCAAATTAGTTAGAATCCAACGTCAATCCTCTAGTTCAGAGGGTCTTCTTCATGACTGTCCCCAACAGATCTCTGGTATGTTTCACTTGCTGTTTTCTATTAAGAAACAAACATCCCAAATCTCGAAATTAAGAAGACGATGATTATAGCTGCATCTTTCAGGAGCTGGGAATGGAAGCCAGGCAGCCACGAGAAGAGAACTGCTTCTATGAGAGATATCCAATTTAAGAAGCATCATATACTGGGGAGCTGGATCTAGTGTGGTCCTCAAGAAGAGTAGTTCATGACATTTTACAATAACTAAAGATCAATGTTCGGGATTAGAATATAAAAGGGATCTTTACATACATTGCTGAATATAGAAGCACTGGGGAGGAAGGACATCAGATTACAGACAAGGAAGGAATGTGCAACATATGGTGTCATGGCAGCCTCCTCAAGGAGATTCCATTAAGATCAATATTGATGCAGCAAAACCACATGGGCAAGGCATAGCCAGGTTTGGAGTTGTCCTTAGGAAGTAGGAATTGTAACAGCAAAGTTATAGGAGCTGTGCAAAGAACTTGTAGGTTTCAAGGATCGGTTCTTCAAGCTGAGGTTATGGCTATTGATTTTGCATTAAGGATGGGCAGAGAATTTGGACACAGCAATGTCATCATTGAATCATATTGTGTTGAAGTCATACAAGTAGCTATGTCCAACGATGATTGTTATCCTACTTTTGGAGCAATTGTGGAGGAACTTCAAGCTAAGAAATTCCATTTTGTTTCTCTATGTTTCCAGCATCTAAAGTGTGAGTGTAACTTGCAAGCACGTAGGTCGGCTCAGCTATAATCCCTTCATCATGGGAAGGTGTTTGCAAATAAGGAATGTAAAATCAAGATATTTTATACAATCATATGAAAAAAAGAGTAATTTTCATCCTATATATTTTTCTCAGAAAGAGAGAATTGATATGTTTGGCAGTGGTAACCATATAAGAGAAAAGTGCAAACCGAAAATGCCATGAAGAAGTTGCAGTGTTATTTCCACCTATGAAAGGGTTCTTTCAATAGACACGTCACCCACCATGTTTGTTTGTTCATGGTACAATGATTTTGCCTGCACAAACATGAGGCCTGGGGTTGAATCCGGTTGCATTGAGCAGCAACCCCTTCTACAATTATTTACAGACTTTCCCATCCGGAATCGCCTTCAGTTTCTGTTTGCAAATTTTCACACCCCATAGTTGTGGCAGTCGTGGATGGATGAAGATTTTGCATGGATTCTTTGTTAGACCCCATTACAGCATCACCAAACCAAATTGCTAGCTGCTCATACCCCCTCGCTAAACTCGTTTTTGCAGTTAAAGCATCCTAGAACATTTGCTGGTTAAACAGAAAACAAAAACATATCTTATTAATAAGCAAAGGTTATGAATTTGTAAAGATCACATACAATGTGAATTACACACGGGAAGCTTAATCAAATGCATCCCTTACTAAAATTACTCTCCTGTGGTTATTCTTCTATGTTAGACTTAGTATGCACCTTGTATGATCTGTTTTTCCTGTGCACAGGAGACAGTATGAAGTGCAGTATTATCCACATGGACAGTTATCCTCAAGCTTCACATTGTCACACAAGGCAATTGTTTCCATGGAAGAAATACTAACCACATCATTGGAGTCCTTTGATGGCCCTGTAGAAAATTTTCAATTCAGTTAAACTGCAAAACATCCAAAATATACATCAAATTCTTTACAGTAAGACAAGATATTGCTGACGCCGGACGGAGACAATAAAAGAAGAAGTCATGTCAAAGAAGTCCGTTTGGTCTCTGAAGGCCAAGATGCATTTCTCCATGAAATATCCAGCAACCTATTTGATTTCCCTCTGGACAATATAAATAAAATTTCATTTATTAACCAACATAGATGAGAAATGCGTTATCTCACAGAACAAGAACTTATGACCATATCAATTCAAATAATAAAATATAATTGGAGATTAAAAAAACTAATATACATTTAATTTAATATACTTTTTATATTTGTTTCAGTTTTTTTTTTTTTAACAATTGTCGTAGGGTTGGATTTAATTGTTACCAGAAAAGAGAGTGAACCATTACAAGAGTGGCAGAGGTCACTTGACCCTATGGATCAAGTTTATATTCGTTTCAGTTTAGTTATTAAAATATAATATAAATATAATTAATTAAATCGATTTATATATCTTATATACAAAATTGTATGTTAAAATTTATTTA